AAATATCATGCTTTCAAGGATGTTGTGTGCAATCCATTGGGACAACAATTCCGGCCATTTTGTTACTTGTATATTCATTATGTTATGCCCATTTGTCTCCACAACAAATGAAGACATTAATTTTATCCATACCTATAAAAAGATTACAAATAAATTGTGTGAGACTTTTTTCAAAAAATAGTGACAGATTGTCACTTTAAAAAAAGTGTGAGACTTTTTTATGAAAAAGTGACAGATTGTCACTTTTTCATAGAAAAGTGACAGAATTCATATTCTCATTGAGCAAACATCTTGTATGGATCAATGTAATTGATTTAAAGTTTTTTTCCTCATATGTATTAACATAAAACAGAGTGTAATTATTTGAATTGGTATGTTCAAATTTCCAAAAACGCATGTGTATGCATCTAGTTAATGCTCCAATGAGATACCGTGACTTTTTTGAGAAAAGTGACACAACTTCACTTTTTCACATTCTCCTTTTGTCAAACACATTGCATGCATCAAAGTAATTGTAATTGATTCAAAGCTAATTTTCCATATATAGTAATCCTTGTATCATTTTTCACGAAACGTCTTATCATTCAAATGAAGCTTACACTAAAATCTACTCAAACACAAATAACTTCAACAATGCTAATGCACAATCGATGCGTTGTGATATTTTTTCCCTTACATACATTCTTCTTATGTAGATTTGGGAATTGGAAATGGAAAAAAAAGATGAAAAAGATATGAAGATAGAAGTATTAGTAAAAGAAAACAACTAGCTATTGAAAAAAGAAAAAAAAAATAAAATCAAACGACTATTTTTTGATAAATCAACTCTCTAATGTCAAATTCTATTTACATAATTTATAGAAGAATTGGAAGAAATACAACTTAGATTTCAAATTTTCACCAATTAAATTAGAGGATATAGAATAATTGCTGGTAAAGATTTGAACTGCAGAGAGAGAATGAAAATAATACTGCACTACATTTTTAGGCACTTTTCAGGCAATTCTCTTTCCTTGATTTCTGGAATTCTTAGGCACTAAATTTCCTTGAATTCATACATATAAAACAGAATCAGAATCTTAAAATTAGATGGATTTAAACTCACAATTCTCTTTCCTTAATTTCTGGAGAGTTTGCGTAGAAATAAAGAGATAAGTAGGCACTTTTCAGGCAAGGGTTGTGGCCAAGTACTGACTCCTCCCTCCCGGAATTACGTTTCGCGGAGCCGAACCTGTATCTATGGAAGATTTCTTCTTCTTCATTTCTTGCTGTTTGTCGTGAGTTTAGGTTTTTGCTGGTGAGATGAGCCGTATTTTTTACATCAAATTATATATAATTACTACTTACTTCAAATTTATCATGATTTTTCAAAAGTATCCCAAAATATAGGGTATTTCTGTAATTGCTATGTTATGTGTACGTGCAATATGATTAGTGTTTATTATTGCACACAACTTAATAAATGAATCATTTGGCTCAAATTTGAGTAAGCGATCCAAATGGACTTACCTTTTTGGTCGAATTGGTCTTCAATACTTCACTAGGATGTGCATCGTTACAATTCACATAATAATTTTTCAATATCGGAAAAATCGATTTACTTAATTTTCCACCATAGGGGACTGGAATGAATGCTCAACGCCAAATTATTTTGGGTTGTTTGATTCTGAGCTTGACTCATGGACTTGTCCTCACATTGGGCCTGCACTGTTTGTTTTGGGCCTTAATAATATATTCCGTCAACTAACAACATTGAGAAAGATACAAATTAATATCAATTAGATGTACCATTAAATCAACCATAGATGACAATACACATCATAATCATAACTAATTATTAAATCTTATTCATCATCTAAATTAGAAAACAATACTTCCATAATTGAATTACTCCATGATTCAAACAAACTACACGACATCAATTCGTGTTGATTTTTCAATTTCAACCTAATTGTTCATATCCTTTTTACGTTAGGAAAAAAAAAAAAAATCTTACAACCTCATCCCATACGAGGCCATCCAAAAGAAAAATCAAAATGTAGCTAAAAATCATAAAAGTTGATAAAAATTGTTGATGATATAAATGACTGATTAAAATTAATTCATATCTTTGACTTAGATTTTTATCCGATTCAAAGTCGAAAAGATTGAAAGATTAATCATTCACAACCACCACTCGAAAAAAATTATTCAAAAAGTTAAGAATCAATAACCCTGTTTAGAAATCGAATGAATTCGATCTTATACATATGCGAGGAAAATTATCAAAAGAGAAAGATGACGTTTGTTTTTTTTTTTTAATTTATTACATAAGACGCGAAAGGGTCGAGCACGATTTTAAATGAGGGAAAGAGATTAGGATTCTCTTTTCGACTCTGATTCGTCCACTCGATGCTTGCTTAACTTTTTTAGCTAAAAAGGATAAATAGAAAAAAATGACGAAAAATATATAGAGAGGACCATTTCAAAGCGTCCTTCTCGCGAAGCCTAGACAGTGCGGTGTTGGTTGGTTGTTGGTTAGTTGGTTGAAAAATCCCATGATTTTCTGTAATAGAAATTTACCAATTTTTGTGCATCTGATCGAATTTTAGTGAGAGAAAATCATAGTGAGAATCAAACAGACGGCCGATGGAGAAGGCGATGCCAGTAGATGGTGGAGATAGTAGCGGCATTGTAATAACGTGGGTTGATGTTGTTATTATAATTCTTATGCTGCTCTTAATTATCATCCTTATCCTCATCGCCTGTAAACTCAAACCATGGCGCCGCTTCCTCCCCTCCTACACATCTGCCGCCACCAGATTCCGCCACCCCTCTTCGATCAAGGTTCAACTCACGAACACTTTATGTAGATATCCTTATATATGTATGTGCACATGCATTTAATTGTGATCTGATTTAGAGAGTTTGACTTTTGTGATCACTTGATTTATATGTAATTGATTTTAAAACCCTTCTAGATCAAGTGCTTATTTCTTTACGACTTTTGAGTTTAAAGCCATTTGTTTGGTGATTAGGAGTTAATGAATTAATTCACGAGTTCCCCCTTTTCTGTTTCATTTGTGTTTGATTTTATTTCTTTCTGTGCGTCATTTTTATAAATTTTCTGGGACATATTGGATTCTATTTCCTTTTCTGACCCTGACAAATTCAACTTTACAAATGATTTTGGTAATAAGTTTTTACCGGAAAATATCAAGATATGAATTGGATTAAATAAGTTCAATGTTTTTTTTTTTTGGGGGCGGGGCGGGGGTTCTTTTTGGTGTAAATTGTAAAATAGTTAAAAGAGTTTTGTAAACATAAGAAATGACTGGGAACTGAATGGTAGCTCAGCTGCTACAAAATTCGAAAATGCTGGTGGTCTTATTCTTTTATGTTCATGTAGTTCGTCTGGATTGTAGAGTTCATTTTTTCAACCCAATAATCTGTTTCACTTTTTAGTGTGAGATTTGTTCTGTCTACTGTTTAGTTGATTAACCTTTTGCTTTGATTCTGAAAAGCTGAGCACATCATTCTAGTTATGTGAAATGTTGTTTCATGGTGTGAGTAAAAAAGGGGTGCATCTGCCTGCTTGCACTTTCAAATTTTTTCCATTGGTTTGCCCAATTTCTGTTTAAGACCCTTTTTGGTTTGTATGTGCCAGTTCTTCTGGTCATGTCTAGTTAGGACTACTACAATGAACACGATTTTAGCTTCTTTTTCTTCTACAATTCCAAAAGATGAGTGACTTTTTCTCGATCTTCAGAACCATTTTGGCAATTTGGTATCTTTTGGCATAATTGCCCACTTTCTTTTCTTCCCCAACTTGTTTTCGTAATGCTTTCCCATTTCTCAAAATTTTAGTTTTTGATGGATAAAATTATGAACTTTTACATATTACGAAATGAAATGGATTGAAACACAAAATTTAAGAGTTTGAGGGGGTTGATAATGTGGTGTTCTGATGGGTTTTGTTGTAGTGTCCTTTTGGTGTTATATTAGCTAGGGCTTTGTGAGTCAAATTTGTCTGTGAGTTCTCAAGTCCATTTATCATTTTTGTTTGTGTAGTTCATCTGTGATGTTCGTTTCATTTTTAACCATTTTTAACCGAGTAGTGCATTTTTTCGAGTCAGTGTTAGTTTCACTAGGGTTTTTTTTTTCATTTGCTTAAAGGTATCTATCTCCTTCTCTGATAGTTAATAATGGAATCTTCTTGAGGATTTTTAACCATGAATGGAAATGTATTCTGATAATCCGAAATAGTTTGGAAACCAACCGCTTAACTTTAGTGGGTGGATGCACATAATTTGGCTTGAATACTGTTGCATTATGTTTCGCTACATAGCAAAAGCTATTTGAATCAAGCCCTCTATTGACAACTCTTTTATTGAAGAAAAGGATTATGACAATCCACTTCAGTGTTGATAGCTACGATTATGATAGTATTCTTTTGTTGATGGGAGAATATGTGGTTCTTGAATGGTTGATGAAATCTTCTTAAGAATATTTTGTTCATGAAAAGATGGAGGTTTTTCATATGGTAGAGTTTTAGAAGTTATATTGCTTCTTTTTATGCCTTTCGTACCTTCATATTATAAAAATGTACATCATTGAGTTGCTTAGAAAATCATCATTTAATGTTAATAGTTTGTTAAGTAAATAGAATTGGCTATTGTTTGCGTTTGACATTGAACTTATTTGCTTGTGCTATTTTTTTATTTCCTCGTGCATCCTCTTTACACTGTCATTTGCATAGGTTGATGACATAGAGAGGCCTCTTGTTTCGGAAGATTATGACGTAGTTGAAAGCCAGATCTGTGAGTCCACTAGTTACTCCATTGAGGGGGGTGGTCGTCGAACTCAGGCGGGATTCATTCCACCCCATTCTAACAGAGTAACACAAAGGCTCCAGTCGACGTCTCCCCAGCTGACACATAGTACTTAACAGCTCCCACTTTTCTTGATAATTTATGATTTTTGTGCAAATGTAATTTGTATCAAACTCTTTTTGCTGAATGAAATCTTACTCTTTGCTCGGTCCAGGTGATAGCTTTGTTCTTGACATTCCAAATACATCGGAGGATTCTTTTGTTGGTCAGACGCTTAAGCTTCCACTTGCACCAAGTAAGTTAGCCGAAGAGGGGATACGTGAGAAGGAAGGTGTAAAGTATAGCCCAAATCATGTAGATGAGGACATTTCTAGAGAGTTCATTCCAAAATATACTGCAAATCAGAGTAATTTTCTTTTCGCAGTTATACGAGCTGTAATGTTTTTTGCATCTTTTTGTTTGCAGAATTTATAAAACATGTCATCATATTTTTCTTTTAGAAGTGCAGGAAGCATTCTCATCCTGGAGGTAATCTCAGGACCTTCTCGTGGTCTTCATTATTCCATACAATCAACGAATACATCCAGGCTTCCAGTGACTGTTGGAAGAGTTTCACCTGCTGACATATTGTTGAAGGACGCAGAGGTCTCAGGCAAGCACGCAACGATAAATTGGAATGTAAACGTAAGCTCAGAACTTAAATATTAGCTGTAGGGAATTATGCTCTGTTCTTCATGTTATTAACTTCCTGGTGTTGCAGAAGTTGAACTGGGAACTGGTTGACATGGGTAGCTTGAATGGTACACTCTTGAATTCCCAGGCAGTACACCATCCTCAATCGGGAAGCAGACATTGGGGCAATCCAGTCGAGCTCTCAAGTGGAGATATAATAACTTTTGGCACAACTTCAAAGATTCTTGTAAGTTGATGTGCCTTTCGACTTCACAAGTGTTTTTTAATCCATTTTCCATGGCCTTTTCACTTTTCAGAAAACATTACATTACCTTACTGGTTAGTCATAGTCGTCATGTAGTAAATTTTGTTCAATATGTGCTGAGGATATTGCAAGAAATTATTCATCAAAAGCTGACTTTACTTGGGGTATTTTAATTAGAGGTCACGTGTGGTTTATCATAAGAACTGAGAATGCATATGGGCTTTGGGTGTTTGTTCACAATTTTGATGTGTAAGATGTTAGTACGACTTCTCCGCATATATGACTAGATTTTTGTACCAGGAGAGGTCTTACTGAATATTTTTGCCTCGCCATTAGCTCATTTAGATTTCATGTTGGTTTATTGTTGCAGGTCCAGATAACTGCTCAAACGGAGGACCAGATCCCTTTTGGGATTGGTATAGCATCAGATCCCATGGCAATGCGCCGGGGAGGAAAAAAGTTGGCCATGGAAGATGTCTACTATTACCAGTGGCCTCTCCCTGGAACCAATCAGGTTTCCGAATTGAATCTTGTCTTAGTGATTTGTGCGCTTTCCTGAATGGCTATTAGGTTATTTAATTATTACATTGCAGTTTGGATTGTTTGGCATATGCGATGGACATGGTGGAGCAGATGCAGCCACATCAGTTAGCAAGTTAGTGACTTGAATTGCTTAATCACCCATAATAGACCTATTTTAATCTCTCCCATCAGTTTACAAAACAGGAGGAAGTATTGTATTAACATTTTTCTTTGTCATAATATACAAATTTGCACGATGAAAATTGTAGGTTTCAATTACCTATGAAATTGCAGCAGTTAGAAGTTAGAACCATATATTGGTCTGTAGCTTTTGTCCATGCTTCATTTTAATTCTTTGGATCTTTTGGTTGATAGTGAATGTATTACTTTTTTTGTGAACCTTAAACCATCATCCCTACTATTCTTATGTTCTTTACTCTCATTTCTCATTTTTCCTTTTATCCTAGAATAATGCCGGAAGTGATCACTAGCATCCTGTCGGATTCATTCAGGAGAGAGAAGGTTTTATCTCAGTGTGACGCTTCTGACGTCCTTAGGGAAGCATTTTCTCAAACAGAAGCAAGCATTAATCACTACTATGAGGTTTTTACTTGACATTTCTTTACATGATCTATATAATTCTTCCAGTTTTGTGCAGTTCTGCAAGTGGATAACTATCATTTTCAATTTCAGTGACACATTCTTAAAAGATTAGTCTGCGTATAAAGTTCTTTTCTAACATCTTCACTGCCTGCCCTGGGGCCGGTTAATGTATAAAGTGGCTGCTGAAAATGGTCACAAACTTTAGGAAAGGAAATGTATAAAACCTCATTCTTTGAGCTCCCCTTTATTCTTTTACAGTTTCGTGCAATTATGGCTTTATGTTAGCTATGTACTTACAAATTAAACAAGCATCGGATGCAGACATGAGATATGGGGGCATTATAATTTGCCAAAGCAAGATTGCTTTTCCAAAAAGTGAAAACAGAGATGTATGGAAAACGTGGCGTGTTTTCTTTCAGTAACAAGTGAATGGCTATTCACTTGTGAATAGATTATCCTGTCAAAGGACCGTCTTATTTAATCAGATTACAAAAGTGAGATACAATATGTAAGGATAGTGCATGATCTTGAATGAAGGAAGACATGATTCTTCTAATAACTGAAAGGTTACTGAAGTTTGAACAGTGTGCCCATGCCACCTCTAAAAGATGGGGACTGATGATCATAAAGGGGGGGAAGACTAATCACAATTAGCATGAGAGCACCGCTGTCATGAGTTGCAAATTAAAATAAAAAGGTAGAAATATATATGTTTCTTTCATCCCCTATTTGTTTATTGTTGTTTAAGTTAGAAACTTAATTGATCATTACACTGAATGTTCACCTATCTAGCAAATTATGCTAAAGATAAAAAATATTTTGTGCTAATCCTGACACAGCCGTTTGGCATTATTGTTGCAACAGCAAAATGAAATTGAATTTCAGTTTCTTTTTTGCTAATATCTCTCCTATGATATGTTTTATAGGTGTACAATGCCATTTAATAGTTAAAAATTTTCAGGGTTGTACTGCAACAGTGCTTCTGGTATGGGCTGATGGTCATGAAAATCTTTTTGTGCAATGTGCAAATGTTGGAGACTCAGCTTGTGTTGTAAAGTATGTTTTGATTTTTATCATTCTTATGCGTATTGGTATATTATGAAAAACTATATCAGGTTAAGTTTCAACATGATATTTCCACTGTACATTTGGTCATCCATTCCCATGTAATTGTGCTTATTTCCCGAAACTATAAGTCAAAATTCTTAGTTTAGTTGATGCATTTTGTTTTCATCTTGAGTAGTTTCTTTATGAGTACCCTATTCAACTTTTATTTGTACAGTATTGAAGGGAGGCAGATAAAGATGACAGAAGACCATAGAATAATCAGTAGTTCTGAAAGACTTCGTTTTCAAGAGTTGGGAGAACCTTTGAAAGATGGGGAAACACGAATTTGCGGTGATTAAGATCAGCCTTATGTCGTCTATGAATTTTCTATTGAATGTCAATTATGTACTGACAGCATAATTTGTTTCCCCTAAGGTATAAACCTTGCCAGGATGCTTGGAGACAAATTTTTGAAGCAGCAGGATGTTCGCTTCAGTTCAGAACCTTATATAAGTGAAGTTGTATCTATACACCAAGCGAGCAGTGGTTTCGCACTATTAGCTAGTGATGGCTTCTGGGATGTCGTTAATTTCAAGAAGGCGGTTCAGCTATCAAACAATGGAGCGAAATGACATGGATCAAGACAATTCGGCAGAAAAGATAGCCAATTTTTTGTTGAGTGAGGCAAGATCCTTACGTACAAAGGACAATACGTCTATAATTTTCTTAGATTTCAATGTCATCGATAGAATCAATTCTTGTAAACTTGATCAGTAGGACATGTTTCTAAGTATATCTATACAAATTTTATTTCCGTATTACACGAACATTTTAGCTGCCAAAGCAAAAGCTTTAATTGTTTCGGTTGAATATAGGCTCGCCACAGGACACCCTCGGCCTATAGCCTATGAAGATTCCTGGAATGCTCTTCAATGGGTGGCTTCCCTCACCATTGAAAAACAAAATCCAGCAGAGAAAATGAAAATGAGCCATGGCTAACTGAGAATGGTAACTTCAATAAAATCTCAATATATTTTTGACATCTCGTTAAGAAGCCATTAAGTTGTGATGTCGAGATGTCAAGAAGGCGTATTGTTGTCTTCCTACTTATTAAGAGAGATCAATGTGTCAAAAACGCATTCATAGGACAATAAGTTTGGACAACATATTTCGACTCCTATCTACCTACACTTGAACACGGAGTATGTCATCATTTCTACCCTAATATATTAGTACGGCAACAAGTGCAATTGGAATTCAAGGATCTACTAGAATACAATTTTTAATGAATGATTTACAATTAAAGTTTCTATTTGAAGCAACTGTTGTTTGAGGATTTAGTGAATATTTGGTTTTAACTTAAAAGAAAGTAACTTTTAAAATAGACAATACCTTTGATATATAGCTTTAGAAATAAGTAAGTTGTTTGTTTTAATGTTAAAAACAAATTTATACTTACTTCTATCTTAAAAAAGAGTAATCCTTAGAGCATTTTGTAATAACACATTCGAAAGAATATGAGAAGTACTCAAACTCGACCCACCTCAGAAGGATATATTAACAGAGAGGGATCGTGAGTAAGGATTTTAAAACTAATAAGAAACAGTAAAAATACAAACAAATGGATTGAGAGTGAGTAAAAAATATGGGCAGCTAAAATTTTTTCTTGATAACTAAACTTTATTTTACTTCAAATTTATTTCTAAATTTAATTAAAGTTGGTCATTGAACTTAAATATTTGTGTGGTCACTCCAAATCACTTTTCTAATTAGTTAATGGATACAGCAGTGACCAATGTGAAGCAAAACTTTAATTCAGTGACTAACTCAAAATAAAATAAAATTAAGTGACAAACATAAAATTTACTAAAAGTTTAGTAACTACTGGCCTATTTAACACTGTTGATGTCTAAAACCCTAATCAATTCGAAACTGGAAAGAAAGAAAAATTGGAAGACGGCGAAGAGAAAAAGGAGAGAAATTGAAGAGGAAATCAACAAGGAAGCACAAACTGATGTATACATTGCAAACAGAGATTATGAGTATCACGAGAATCAGCCAAAAAAGAAGAAGAAACACAGAGAAAAAGAGAAACAACGGAGAAAAAAAAACGACGCCATATCGTCAGAAAATGAAATGCCCACCTGAAGCATTGCCGTTCCTGGGTCCATCATCTTTAACACTCAGTCATTTGAAATCGCAACCCGGGTACTTTCTATTTGCCCCATACCTGTGAAAAATGTATTTTTTAAGAAATGGAAAGTCTCTTGTGTGTATATATTTTTGCATATTTTGTTGATTGGTCTATGTGTGAAGAAGATGAAAGTTTGAATCAAATAATGGAAAGGTTTTGGCTTTTCTGTTGTTGTAGAAAACTAAAGGTGTCTTCTTCCTGTAAAAGTGATTTTCCGTCTGTTTAGCGTTTGATAATTGGACAATGTAATCAAAATACTTAACTTTGAATTCATTATTGTAAACATTTGTGTGGTTGGGTTTACATTTAGTTGAGATATGAGATAACAAAGTGCAAGTTTTTCAATAGAAAGAATTGTTGCGTGCTGTGTTTCAAAATTGGAGAATGTAACGAAAAGACTGAATCTGTAAACAAATTGAATAAGAGTATTGAGAAAATAAAGGATAGATTCAATATAGAATTATATTGAAGATTGGAGAAATATATAATGAGTAAAAGGTATACAAAGTGTTTCTATTTATAGACTAAAATCTAACCAACCAACAAACTAAACTATCTAACCTGACAACTAAATGACAGCTGGAAGCATGTGCTGTTGAGATGATGGACGTTGGATTGTTGAGATGATGGACGAGCTGGATCAATAGGACACAGATCATGATCTGTGTGTTGTTTTTTTTGTTGTATATTCTAACTCTCCCCCCTCGAGATGGAACATCTTGAACTTGGAGAAGAGATGAAAGCAAAACTTTGGTGGAAGATATCTCCTCACATGCACTCCAGTACTCAAGCCTTCCCAGTAGTTAAATCCTCACATGCACTCCAGTACTCAAGCCTTCTCCAGAATCTTAAAAACCAAAACCATCTGAAGTTGCTAAATGTTTTCTGTAATTGACATAGGAGGAGTTTCTGCTGCTGTGTCCAAGACGGCTGCTGCTCCAATAGAGAGAATTAAGCTCTTGATTCAGAATAACCGGAATTAGGGAGCACCATTGCTCTGAAATCAGGCTGAAGAGAAGAGCTTAGAAACATCATCAATGGAATAACTCATTGATGGAGATGACTGTGGATATTCTCTGCTCTTGCTGCACATGCAGGAATCGAAGCAGGAGGCTTAGAAATTACCAAAAAATAAATAAATCAGGAGCAGCTGAAACCGGAAGCACCATTGGCAGACATACAAGCAGATGATTCTGAAGTCAGAGTTATCTTCAGATTTCTTTACCTCCATTCCAGAATCAATTTCAGGACCAATTTATTTGAAGATGTGAGGCTGATATTGCATGCCATTCATTGTCATAGAGAAGGCAGAAGAACTTGCAGACGGCAGATGAAAAAAATTGCAGATGGCAGAAGGAGGAAAAAAAAATTGCAGACGGAAGATGCATTTTTATGCTCTGATACCATATTGAGAAAATAAAGGATAGATTCAATATAGAATTATATTGAAGATTAGAGAAATATCCAATGAATAAAAGGTATACAAAGTGTTTCTATTTATAGACTAAAATCTGACCAACCAACAAACTAAACTATCTAACTAACATGACAACTAAATGACAGTTGGCAGCACGTGCTGTTGAGATGATGGATGTTGGATTGTTGAGATGATGGACGAGCTGGATCAATAGGACACAGATCATGATCTGTGTGTTGTTTTTGTTGTATATTCTAACAAAGAGTTTTTCAGTTTTTACTTTGAGGTGGGTTTTGCACATTATTTTGAATTAGCATATAACAGCTTGCAATGATTTTTTTTTTATTTTTGTCTTTAGGTTCTAGCTGAAGTTCTATTTTCATCAATCTCTGCTTATGTTCAATTTTTTTTCCAAAAGTTGGCTGGTCAGATTGCTTGTGCTGCCACCATTTTCGAATTGATGAGGTTCCTTTTACTATGGTTATTTCTTTCAATATGAGTTTATTAGTGGGAAGGACTAATCTTCATTGGTTTTGTTTTCATTTCTGAATGAAAACAATATATCTGCACTGATACTCGATTTATTCTTTGTTCTTGTTTTTTGTGCAGGGCTATTTGGTGCCCCACACCTTTTGCGTTATTATGAGTGGGCTTCATACAGGGAAGGTTCCCAAACCTATTGTCTGTTATTATTCATGTGCACTAATTTTGTAAAATTGGTTTACAACGGGGTTTCAGAAATGGTTGATATTTTTTCAAGCTAATGTTTGTTATTTTTTTTTAAATACATTTTTTTGGAATTATTTTATTGGTTCATATTGAGGCTTACTTCTCACTGCACCTTCAAAATGTCTCTCTATCTGAACGAGCCTTTTTAAATGTTAGAGGTGTAAGGCGGTCCTGGGCCTTTCCTTTTCATTGTTACTTTTTAAGGAAAAATAAAACAAATAAATTGAAACTGTTGGGTTGGGTGGCCCAACCCGTTTTACAGCTTACACTTGATCACTGAACTGTAGGTAAAGTTCCCTGTTGGCTAATCGAATTGTAGATGCCATGACTTCCCACAACAGTACAAATTTGACAAGAACTAAGTAATGGGTTTTTGGGGCTCTTCTGTGTTTAAGTTCTTGGTGCGCACACACGCATCTTTATTCAAGTGTGTGTGTGTGTGTGTGTGTGTATATATATATATATATTTATTATTATTATTTTTTTAATTGTTGATTCATATGATTGGAGCAAAGTTTGAGCATATGATGGTTTACACTTGATCGCTGAACTTCAGGTAAGTTTCATGTCGAAAATATTTTTGCTGATGCCTCTGACTTTGATTCTAAGGAAATTAACCCACCTTTGTATTTTATACAAGTTAAAGTTATATACCTTTCAAAAACAAGTTAAAGTTATATATATTATTTTTATCTTCCTTATTTAATTTTTTATTTAATTTTTTGAGTTTTGGTCATAGCTTTGTGGCATTGACATTACTCTAGCTTTAATTACACTCTATCTGGGAGTCTATTCATTTGATAGCATTGCAATATCAACTGAATGACAGGGAATTCTCTTTTGAAAGTCAACAAAGTCTTTTGCTAGGTATAAAGGTGTTTCTGAATGTTTCTCTCTGCCCGTTCTGTTTTTATAATCACAACTTTAACTGTGATGTGAATGATTGCTTAGAAAATTGTTCATGGAGGATTCAGTATGGATTTTACTTAATAGTTGTTTTATCATGTTAACATTAAAAATTACTAATTAGTAACTTCACTTGAGCTTGTTTGAACCGGTACATTTTATTAGAAAAGTTACTAATAAGTAGTTTTACCTGAGCTATTTGATATGGCATATTTTTGAATTTTTTGATATCTTTCTTTTTTCTAGGCATTACACTGAAAAATCAAGATCAAGGTTCTGTGGGGACCCTTGTTGATGTGTGGCTTAGCATGGTTCGGTTTATTTGCACTTAATGTTGTTCCATGCAGTTGTTAGTAATTGATATGTTTGGATGTTTCTTGTATAAATTTCATTTTTGGTTGACTTTTAGCAAGGCGCAAGTATTCTGTGTGTCAGAAAACCTTTTTCCTTTCCCTTAGTTGATTTCTTCTCCTTTGATGATCATACAACTATCTGATGAACCTTTTCCAAATAATTCGGTTGTGGTGATGTAACCTCTCTCCATGAACCTTTTCCAAACAATTTGGTTGTAGTGTTGTAATCTTTTTCTCCGTTCTACTCAATGTACAGTGGGAGCTATCAATGGATAAATAATAGGGTTTTTTCATCTTTTGTGAATTCTAAATCGGCTGGTTTACATGCAGTACCATATGCCGATGACATTGAGGATTCAATAGAAAACAGTAACAGAATCCTAATCTATTATTCTTGGCACAATTATGAATTAAACTGGCCCCAATTTGAAATTTCAAGTGTCGAATTAATAAAACAAAGGCCATTACTCATTCCAGACTGTTTATCATTTCCTTCTTCTGTTGCTTCTAAACATTCCTCTCTTTAGTTGCTTTCATCCGATATTTATGTTTGTTTACCACTGAAATTCTTCTTCGTGGTGTTGTCAATGGGATGAGGGAATGAAACAAAGATGACTTGCATCTCTATTAAATAACTATAATTTTGTACAGTTTGAAGGAAATACATGCACGCATTACACCTCACTATAGCTTAAGCTTTCTAGGCTGGATGATCAGTTTGAATTGGTAAGAAAGCAGGCGAAGGATCTGACTTTAAATCTTAACACTACCTAGTCATAACGTTAGTTCACTGTCTTTGAAAATGAATATGGTCTAGAGACTGAATATCAAGATTCAAGTGCCACATTCGAAGATCAGTATAGGAATAAGCTCATTAATTTGTAACAGCTTGAACTTTTTGCTGATGTAATTTGGATTGCTTACAAGAATGAATGCCATATTGAGCAGAATGTTATGATTGATAAAGTCATTGAGCCGGGAAGAAGAGTAACAGTAGCTATGGGAACAAATTATTATTATTTTTTTTTGAAGTAATCTGAAAATTTTATTCATCAAAAGATAATACATGGGGAATGTATTATTAGTTTAGACAACACATATCCGACCTTTACAAAACTTGAGTTCTATGGAATGAAAATCGATTCAATTAGACTTTTTTTTTTTTTTCCATATTTCTGATTTGCAGGGGAAAAATGTGCTCGAGGTTTTCGACTTATATTTGAACACATGCCCTCATCAAGGAAGTAGAACAATTCGGACAGAGGTACTTTGTGCAGTTTTTTCTCATCTCAAGTCATCAAAAGGGGAACATTTTCCCACCAATGAACGTATCCAGAAATTACGCACTTCTGCAAACAGGAAGCAATCCTCATATCTCTAATCTCTTCATTCAAGAGCCAATCAACCGTGTTTCCCGCAAATACGAACATAATTGCTTGACCCGTTGAAGAAAAGGAGTTGGTAGCTTGAGATATTAGGAAAGATGCCAAGAAGGTGAGATCCTGTCACAAATGCTCCGAACCTTGAGGAATATGTATTGACTATTAGATTATCCATTGCCATCTCATGGGAAAGATTCGACAGTATTCGTCATTATTCAAGTAGAAATTGTACTAGGCATTAAGTTTTCTGCTTTTCTTAGCTTCATAAACTGTTAGTTCCAGCTTTTGTTAGTGTGGACCAAGTCCCTTTGTATGTTATGCCTTCGGCTCTCTATGTTTCATGTTAACCAAGTAAATCTGTTGTTTGTTCTTTATGATTTATACGCAATCGCATTTCATTACGCCATTTAAAATTTTTCTAACTACGAGGAGGGCGCCATTTTATCTCCTCTTTCTTCCCGGCAATCTTACCCTCAAAAAGCAGGGACAGTTTGCGTTGTTGAAGCATGACAATGTTTCCTCTAACCTAGCTTCCATCGAGACTGAATTTTAGTAAATAGAGAGAAGAAATATGTCATTGAGAGAGGGTTTTGGAGCTAAAACTAATACGCAATGTACAATATTATCATATATTAAAATGTCGACCGGTTGTGCATATTAGAACTACGCAAAGCGATTTGGTTTGGACGATTTTTGACATGTTCTCTCACAATGAGCCCATTCTCCAGAAGCACGTTTGTAACGATGGTTGTGATTATGTGCCGATTATAATGCATTCTCAGAAATATTAGACCAAAAAAGTTTATGGTATTTTTCAAAGCTGGAAATTGAAAATAACTTAAAAATAACAAACCAAAAGCACCTTAAAAGTTTCTACAATTTTGATGTTTGTACTTAAATTTTGTGGTTGTAAGTGAGAAAATATCAGACAGTTTTTGATTGCAATCTTGAATTCTCCAAATTATCCCTAGAAGATCTAGGTTGATAATATGGACAAAATTAAGGATTAGATTTGTTTTTGTGTATAGGTGCCACGTTTTTGTGTATAGGTGCCACGGGTTTGAAATAAAATTTTAGTAACCAATTAAGATTGAAGCATAGTTTGACTTTGGACATCTTTTATCCTCGTTAAATAAACTATCGACGAATGTGAGGATGAAATTAGAGGCGGCGTAAAACAGTCTAGCTCATTTTTTATATAGTCTCACACAATCTTAAAAATGTGAAATGGACGGGACATTCAGATGCTGATATTATTGATGGTGAGTGGCATGTTAATAATGTGAATGGAACATAAGGCACGGTCAAGAATAAAATGTTCGTCTATTATAAGACGAAATTATTATCATTACCAAAATTACATTACTCCTTTATCAATCTTGGTAGATATTGAAGTAGTTGGGATATTTCAAGAGGCAACTGCATAATTAGTACATCATTTTTCAATAATCAACTAGTACAGTAACAGTGGCGGCCCAAGTGCTGGCTCCTGTTGAAATTTTTTCCGTACGCGATGCCCTGGCTCTGCCACCGAGTACAGTCATATTTTAATAGGCTATAGATCAGTAAACGGTGCGCGCACAGTATTTTATTAAAATGAAGGAAAAAGCCATATGATATGAAATGAAATGGTGGATCAAATCACTATGAAATGAAAGAAGCCAATTGCTTAATCAAATCCTTTGCTTTCTCAGTATGAGGATCCATTAAATGGAAGCAATGATCTTCTCCATCAACCACCACCAGCTGAACTTCACCGTTCCACCCGCTTTTCTTCACAGTTTCAGCATAAAGAATCCCTCTTGGCGTCATAAGATCCTTCTCTGCTAAACAAACCAGCACCCTCGAACACTTCAGCCCGGACAAGCTTGGCGCATCCTCGGAAAATGGATTGGTCACTGGATTGTCAATCCCGCCAGGTGCCGATGGATAAACACATGACCAAACCCTATTAGCCAAGTGCTGTCCATCAAAATTCTCTTTTGATTCCGATCCAATTGGCTTTGATCCCCAGAAGAAAGGATGGGATAGAAATAAACCCAAGATTTTGACATCCCCAGGCAAAGGTTCTACCCCAGCTTGGAGAACAATATTGTGTGCTATATTGGCTCCGGAGCTATCACCGCCAACATATAATTTAACAAAATCGCCATGTTTAGTAATCCATGGATCCTTTACGATACTAGTATCAGCAATAACGTGCGAAGCCACCCATTGAAGGGCGGTCCACGAATCTTGATAGGCTATAGGCAGAGGGTGTTCAGGGGCGAGCCTGTAGTCAACGGAAATGATTAAAGCTTTTGCTTCGGCGGCTAATATGTTAGTGAAAGGATGGAAGAGGGAAGAGTAGGGAGAATCGACGACGAATGCACCGCCATGGAAGTAGACTAAAACGGGGAGTTTTTCGTCCGGGTCTGTCAGCTTTGGGAGGTATAATCTGGCTTTGACCTCCGGTGAAATGCTTATGTCTTTAGAGGCTACGCCGGTGGTTTGGTCCTCCAGCGACGGAGGGACGTGGGAGGTGCCCTTGAGCCGCTCTACGGAGCCATCTTTGTAGACTTTGATGAGCGGAGAGAGATCGTGGAGCACTTCTTTGGCGGTGTTGGCATCCATGGGAGTGAGCTTAATCACTGTCTTGATAGAATAATTCTCTCAATTGGGCTGAATTTGGACAAAAGTATAGATAATTGCATTGAATAGTACTGGTTAGGTGAATGATTGATTATCTTGACCCACCATTTTGTGAATGGTTGGTTATTATTTCATTAGAAACTTTGAAATGACAATTTTTTTTTATTTTTAATACTGGTGAGTGAATGTTCTTTTAATTGGAAAAGAAATTGATATATAACAGTAGAAAGAAATAAAAGTATTTGTATAATCTTTTTGGGCTTAGAATACAACAATAATTATCATATTTATAGTCTTAAAAATAGCTATATTAAGAAAAGAATTTGTTGTGTGCATGTTTGATAGAGAGTTTACAAAAATGGTTCTTCTAGAGAATGTGTAAAAAAATTTGAATCACGTATAAAATTATTTTATTGGGAGAATGTGATTAAAAATGAATTTTAAAGAATTTGTACCAAACCTAAGCTAAGATACTTTTTTGAGAGTAGTTGTTTGCGGCCGTTCGGATAGGGATGGCAAAAAAGCTCTCCGGCTCGGGTTCGGCTCGGAAAAAGCTCGAGTCGGGCTCGATTATATCGAGCCAAGGCTCGGTCGAGCCTCATTTTTTTGGCCGGGCTTGCTCGGCTCGGCTCGAGCCCAAAAAAAGCTCGGCCCCAAAAAGCTCGAGCTGAACCCGAACTTTTTTATTTAATTTATAGTGTGTATAAATCGAACAAATTTTGAATTTTTGAAACAAAAATATAGATTTGACATTAAAAAAAAAAAAAAACCCCAAAAGGCTCGGTCCGGGCTCGACTTGGCCCACTAAGGCTCGGACCGAAAGCTCGGGTCGAGCCTCATTTTTTTTGGCCGAGCTTAGCTCGACTCGGCTCAGCTCGACTCGTTGACACATCTACATTCGAATCACTTGGAGATTTCATGGGTTGGCAAAGTGTGAGAGAAAATGTAATGCCATGAAAGCGAGGAATTAATTAAATTTACGTCGAAATGGGGTCGATAAACCTATTTCGTACAATCATCTTTGGGTTGCTTTTTCTCCTCCGTTTTGCATTTTGATGATACGTTAATGTATGCTGTGAGCTCTTCAAAACGGTACCAAGAACTCCCCCTTCTGATCATAATCAGTCCCTCAAACTTAGCATGCAAAAAATGGCTCAGAGAAAAATGAAATTTGGAATTTTAATTAATATTTGGATTATGAGTTCAATTATTCTAATTAACAACGTAAAATAAAGAGTTTAATAACAACGAAACGAATAAATAACTAGGTAGAAATCAATTGAAGAAATAGTAAGAGGTTGTTCTCTTTGTATTTCAGTTTTGTGTTTTGAGTTTTGAATTCATTTTGAGTTTTCTTTGTAAATTTTTAACTTGTTTTCAAAAACGCGTTTTCGAAAATAGGAAAGAGAACTCGTTTTCACTGTTTTGAAAAATCGAAAATAAAAAACGACTTGAAAATGGTAAAGAGAACAGAGCCTAAATATTTCTGGTTTTTGGACTAAAATGGTCCGAGGTCATCCTTTTGTCATACAATTTTGAAAGGTATAGGACCTCCGTTGCATATTTTTGAAATGTATGAAACTCCAATGCAAAATTTTCCTTTTTAATCAATTCAAGTTTTGGATGTAATTTGCACATTTTTGAAATGTTTGGGACCTCCACTGCAATATTAAAATATCAATTGGACACGAATATTCTAACCTGTTTCGTAATTTCCTTCTGTTTCGTATTATACCGCATTTTCTTAACATTTCGTAATTTATTGCCATTTTTTCACCAGTGCCACAACAAAAAATTTCTTAGCAATTCGTAAACATTAAGAAAGACAAGAAATGTTGGGAGCCTTGTTTACATAATGCATCAAAAATGACTGCAAGAAGAGTTGCTCAGTTCCATCAAATTCCTCAAACTATCATAAATTCTCTTCATCGGCCACAGAATTCATCCACCCATTTGAACCCACAATTTGTAGCTAAACCTCCTTCAATTTTAGCAACTGATCTCATCAAGTCGTACTTTGAGAAGGGATTGGTTAAAGAAGCTCGTGTATTGTTCGATGAAATGCCTGAACGAGACGTGGTTGCTTGGTCTTCTATGATCAGTGGCTACGCCTCGTGCAACCTCTATAATCGTGCATGGACGATGTTCTACGAGATGATGAAGGATGGTGTCAAAGTGCAACCTAACCAGTTCACGTTCTCTAGCGTACTTAAGGCTTGTAAAGGCATGCGGTCGCTGTCTTGTGGTGCATTGACTCATGGATTGGCTCTTAAGCATAGCATGCATGGGAGTGTGTACGTTGATAATGCGCTCATGGACATGTATGCGACGTGTTGTGGTGGAATGGAGGACGCATTCATGGTTTTCGAGGAGATAAGCGTTAAGAATGCAGTGTCATGGACTACATTGATAGCTGGTTACACCCACCAAGGCAATGGTCGTGGAGGACTTCGAGTTTTTAGACAAATGATACTGGTACGTATATTGACCTGTCTGATCATGCATAATATCTGTTGGCACATAAAAAGACAAAAATTACATACAAGAAATTTTCTGCACACTGAATCCCCTCGCTTATTTTTTGATACTCTAATAAGCAAATTCCATCATATACAAGATTTTAAGTTGGTTCAATTAGCATGTTTTCTCATACCTGTGTGAACAGGAGGAGGCTGAACCAAATCCATACAGCTTTTCAATTGCTGTTAGAGCTTGTGCCTCAATTCGCTCACACAGCTATGGAAAGCAGATACATGCTGCAGTGGTGAAGCATGGATTTGAATCCAGTATTCCTGTAATGAATTCAATATTAGACATGTATTGTAGCTGTAGTCATTTGAGTGAAGCAGATCAATGTTTTCATGGAATGCCCAAGAGAGATATAATCACATGGAACACTTTGATTGCGGGACATGAAAAATCTGATCCCTACGAGTGTCTCAACCACTACTCTGTTATGGAGTCAGAAGGTATCACTCCAAATTGCTTTACATTTACTAGCGTTATAGCTGCTGCAGCTAACATGGCATTATTGAGTTTTGGAGAGCCGGTTCATGGTAAAATTTTAAGAAGAGGCCTAGGAAATGACTTGGCAGTAGCTAATGCTTTGATAGACATGTATGCGAAATGTGGAAGCATTGTGAATTCGTTCAAGATTTTCAATGGAATGTGTGATAAGAATATTGTTTCATGGACCTCTATGCTGATTGGATATGGTAGTCATGGGCATGGAGAAGAAGCTGTTAAACTTTTTGAACAGATGATTCATTCTGGAATTAGACCTGATAGAATCGTGTTTGTGGCAGTTCTGCATGCATGTAGCCATGCTGGACTAGTCGATGAGGGTTTAAGGTATTTCCAATCAATGTTTAGTGATTATAATATCACCCCGGATCAAGATATTTATGGGTGCGTTGTGGATTTGCTAGGACGTGCTGGGCGAGTTAAGGAAGCTTATGAGCTGATAGAATCTATGCCATTTATGCCTGATGAGTCCGTTTGGGGAGTATTTCTCGGAGCCGGTAAAGCACATAAGCTTGCAGAGTTGGGAAAATTAGCAGTGAGCAAGGTATTAGATTTGAGGCCAAATGTTGCAGGGACGTATATGATGTTGTCAAACATATACGCGTCTGATGGTAAGTGGGGAGATTCTGCCAAAATGAGGAAATTAATGAGAAGAATGGTGAATAAGAAAGAGCCGGGGAGAAGTTGGATTGAGGTGAGGAATCAAATCTACAGTTTTGTTGCGGGAGATAGGTTGGGTTCCCATGTCGAGTCGGTCTATGAAGTTGTCGATACTCTGGTTCTGCATATGAAAGAAATAGAATGTATTCTCGATTTACATTGCTTAGTACGTAACTTAGAAGATGGAACTTGAAGACGAGCTGCCATTGAGAAGTACATGATAGTGTCAAGTGAAACAAATGCCGGGTTTGGTTATATTTATTTTGACCGACATCTGGAGCAAGACGAATTCATTCGAATATTTGATATTCGAATGAATCAAATTGACAAACTGATCTTTTGTTGCAATTGTAAATTTAACATGCTATATAATTTTTATTTATATATGTATTCAGTAAAACAATGAGGTGACAATGTTATTAAACAATTAAAAATTTTGTAGTGACTTCAATTGTGTATGAAGATAATGCAGTTTCTTTACATAGCATTGTTCATTCTTTACCCTTATTTATGTTATGGATTACTTTCAGTAGTTCTTCCATTCAAAATGTTCATTGCTCAGAGGGAGGGAATAGAAGCATATTCTGTTACTAGGTAATGAAACGGTATGCAAAGGAAGTTTCTTTCATGAGAATGGCAGTCTCGAGCACTCTCATACTTATTGAGCATGCTACTTTTATAGGCAACTTTTCACACAATCTTCAATGTAGATATGCTCTACTTTTTAGAAATATCACATACAATCTTTCATGTGACTGAGTGAGGAGAAGGGGGCGAAGATCTGTAACTTTCACATACATGCTCAGTGAATTAGGGGGAAAAAATGAAGAGAAGATTTTTAGTACTCTCATAGTATGAAAACTCGATACTTCCTACCACCATTTTATTGTCATGTGTTAATTATCTCTGTTTGGATCCGACTGATAGTAGGTCTCAATTATTCAATACACATGTCAATTAAATAATGAAGTAATTACCGAGCATGTACTTCGAAAGTACTAAAATCTTTTCCAAATAAACTCCGAGATATTCAACACTATTAAAGAAGAGAAAAAATTACTAAAATCTCGTCCATTTTATTGTTTCAAACTTGTCTCATTCTATATACCACACATTTTATGAAAAACCTTGGCGTCTTTCTTCCGGTAACCATAAATAAAAATAAAACCTCCTATACAGCTATACGCTCATGCAATACTCTCAATTAATGTAGCATGTTCAAGTGCACGCTCTTACACTCTTCAATTAATTACATTTCTCAATTCAAATTCTATGATCATATACTGATTCAAACATCGAGTGTCATGAATTACCCATGACCGTTTTCATACATTATTTGTTGTGGTTCCTTAGTTATATTTTCTTGACCATTTGTCTCATTTTTATATAGATTTTTCCCTTTTATAAATCACTTTAATTGTATTGTTATTACAGCTAATTACTCCTGCATTTTACTTTTAACACAATTTTTTTATCAACCCTAGAATGTCAACAGGGGTACTTGTAATAATTGTTGTTTATTTTGACAAAGCAAAATTAATACATTCCTCTCATCTTTTTATTTTAGGGCATTTATGGTCCTCAACCTTTTCGCTTTATAGCAATTTTGTCCCCATTCAAAATTAATCCCACGCATCACTCCTAATGTATCATTTAATATCTACGTTAGTCCCTAATGGTTTACTTTCCAAACTTAATGTTGAATTGAATTTAAAATCACAATCTTTCCTTTAAACTTTAAATAGATAGACAAAAGTAAAATACAAAATGGGAAAAAACAAAAGACAGAACAAAGAAAAAAAAAGTCTTATTCTTCACAATTTCTAGGACTCCCGAAATATAAAAATTCAGTACTTCCTGTCACTATTTAATTGACATGTGTATGTCTTAGTCCAATTAACTATTGTGTCCTCGTTATTTAACTCATATTCAATTAAAGAGTAATATGGAGTATTAATTCTCCATATTTCGGAAGCACTAGAAATTTTTCCATTCTTTANTATACATTTTCTTTTGTAGCTAATATTACAATAATATAATAATAATTCTGATAAGTTAACAACAATCCATCAGGTTTTTCGCAATTTGGGAAAGAGAAGCTAATCGAGCACAGCTTCTTCGTTAACAACAAATCCATCAGGTTTTCGAGCACAGCTTCTTCGTGAACCAGCTCGTCTATTTCTTTGTTCTTGGAAGTACCTTTCCCTGAACTAACTATTACGCAAAAGAATTCACAGATCATGCCATGTATTTTTGCAGCAAGAGTCTCCAACTTCAATCAATTTACAAAATAAGCTACTTTGAGATAATAACAAAATACATGTTACACATTTAAAGTTTATAATCTGGGCAACAAATGCTCTTCCAGATCCAAACAAATACTTTTCTGGAGAAGTAGAGATCAATGTATAAATTGACAGATTCTCAAACATACCAATTCAATCAAAGATTTGTTGAGCTTTTCAAATTGTGGAGCCATCTGCCGATTCACCTTAGCCAGTAATGTTCGAGGTTCTGGATTCAAGTATCTAATGGGCACATAAAAGTAAAACCAAAAAAAGATTAACAAGACATAATGCTAAACAAATACGAGTGGAAAGTGTGTGCAACTTAGAGCATATATGGCTGAAGCTTAAAAGTAATTATCACTTGTTAACTTTATGTTTCCAAACATGTTTGGACAAGTCAAATCTATACATGGCATGATGTGTGAATTCTTCTTGTCTTCTATATTTTCACTACTGATTTTAGCATGAAAACATTTTAGAACAAGTCAAATCTATAACATTCAAATCTAACTCCACCTAATAGCGAGAAAATTTCCAATCTATAATATTCAAATCTAACTCCACCAAATTATCTTCCTTGTAATGATGCCAAAAAATCTCCTTATAACCACTCCTTTACTACTTAATTTAATAGCTTACCTTCAAGAATATAAAAGGTACAAAGAATGGATAAAAATGGCTAATAAGCATTTCTAATCATTGATATAGCATGTCATATAGCATGTCACAAAAACAAGGCTGCAGCAGGGATATGGTAATACTCTTTGACAAATACTAGACAAAATAAAATTTTAAATATAAATACAATTCTTGTCTTCTATATTCTCACTACTGATTTTAGCATGGAAACATTTTAGAACAAGTCAAATCTATGCAACATATTATGGAAATTTTCATTCTGAGCTTAGGCAGAATATTTTTACCCATTTCTAGTCAGGAATGTTTTTCAATGTCCTCAAGCTAAATCTATCTATCTCAGTTTAGTTTTTGCTTTTCACTACAAATATATTTCTATGCATGTGCGCTCACATGACAAAAAGGAGAGGATAAACAGATTGATGATAACTAAATTCAACTACTAGTTAGGGTCACTCCACCACACTCGTCCTGAAGCAAATCAAAAACATTACCACTCGAGTCATCCACCAGTCAGTTATTTTGTCATATTCTTTGAGCACATAAACACCCCAAAAAATGCAAATAGATCAGAAATTCCCCAAAAATGTTCCAGTATAAGCACGCTTTATCAGAGAATCTATTTAAAAAAATTCACATAGGAAATCATGTGCACTCTATAGTCTACCTTTTATCCAACAGTTCAAACATCTCGAGGTGGTTGAGAAAAAGAGATGAAGGCGGATCGGCTATGGTAGTCTATTCTGGTCTACAAAATTGCAGCCACAAATTTTATTTTCTAGATTTTAACTTCTACACTGCAACAAACTCCAACCCAACTTTCTTTTGCCTTCTTAATCATTTCAAATTGACAAGGTGAGAATTTGGTAAATTGCAATTTTGATTCACATTAAGCCCTTGTTTGCCCCCCATTATATCACATTCCATTACATTAATTTTTTCTCTCTCTTCATCTCAACCATCCATTCATCAAATAAAATAATAATGCACACAAATCAAAAACTTTTCAACCACACATCTCCCATCAATCACTATTCTAAAAATTATCTACCCCCCAAAAATTTAAATTAATGGGGGGCAAACAGGGGCTAAGAATGACAAAATCGGCCAGAAATAGCTTTAGAAATGACCATAAATGGAAAAGCCCCAATTCTCTTGCAAAGAATTCAAGAAATCCTCAAATCCTTACCTTACATAAATGGACTGAATTTGCCACACAACTCACGGACTGTTATCACAAGCTCACTCGATTTTGGACAAAATTGCAGGTGACCTGTGGTTGTAATAGATGCNAAACGGTGGCGGACGGCGATGGAAATACTGCGAAAATCGAGACTGGTAGCACGGTTTTGGGTGGTGATTGCGGCTGTGTTCTGCAACTCCATGGGTAGGTGATGACAAGAGGTTGAAGAGGGAGGTGAGGGGGTTCGAATGGTAGTGGGTTCTGGTGGTCTAGGTTGAAGATGGTGGTCGATAGTTGAGGAAGATCCGGCGATTCCATGGTTCTCTCACACACAGTGGTGGAAATAGAGAAAATGATCGTTTTCCGTGTTTTTGTATTTTGAAGGGATTTGGCTTGAAAACGGTGAAAACGCCAAAAATCACGTTTTGTGTTTTTAGGCTAATTTTTTTTCTTGTTTTCAAAAACGAATTTTCGAAAATGGAAAAGAGAACGCGTTCTCGCTATTTTTAAAAATCGAAAACAGAAAACAACCTGAAAACGGCAAAGAGAACAGGCCCTAAGGACTTTCGATTTCACTAATTAACTTTACTCATTCATATTCTATTCATATTTTAGTTCAATTATTGTGTTGTCGGTCAATAAATTCAAGATAAATTATTAGAGAAGTGCTATGTGTACATAATGATCTATACAAAATTTCGCATCCCCCTCATATGGAGTGGGCTCACAAACTCACATGAAGGGGGGCTCACATACAATAAAAATATTTGTGGGCCCCCCTCCATGTGAGGGAGGTGTGAAACTTTGTATACACCACAAAGTGTACACATAGCATTTTCCAAATTATTAATGTTGTCTTCCAAGTAATAATTAAAGTACTTCTAAATATCAAACTTTCATATTTGGATTGACATTTTTATAAAAGTGATGCGTAAGAGCTAGTCAAGAAACATGGCGAACGAATCAAAACAAGAATAATTTGACATAGACATTACCCGTTTAAGGAACAAGAAGATGTGATGAATCTCTTCAATCTTTTCCTTCAATCCCAAAAACCAGAAATTCTCGATGCTAGGATCTTCAATAATTTCTTAGAACCTCACCTTGATGCCTAAATGATTTGGTGAAATGTAATATCTTTTTAATGATTTGGTGACTTTGCCACTTAGCCTTGAGGAGCGCGCCAGTGCAACCTAGGGTGCCCACCTTGGGGGTTTGTGTAGCCTTAGGCACGAACTTTTTGGTTGGAGCACGCGCCTCTCTTGCAGGCAAGATAAACAAGACCGATAGCAAGTGAAATTGAACTCTAATTATCGCACCATATTGTTGAAACACTCATGGAGATTTTGCGATGTTCTAATTTCAACTCAATGAGAAGTTTGGATGGTTTCTCTGGCTTAGATTGTACACGGATGAGAAATGATTATTCTGCTAGTATAGATAACTATGCAAAAAGCTAACCTTCCCAAATGATGGATCTGTCGTCTAGACTATAGGGCACTCAACCTCATTATGTTATAGGAGATGTTAGGATGATTCTTTCTGTTCGGATTGTAAGTCTGATTGGATTATTCCGTTGGCCTTGGAAGTTCTGAGCAAAGCAACCTGTTCAGTCAGTGATCGATCAATGGCATGACGATTTGCCTCACAAGTTTCACATACCGAAAGAATTACTTGAACCATGTTAACTGATTTTGCATGTGATAGCTCATCGACTTTTTTCGCTAGAGTATCTTTGCAAGTACAAGTGCATTGATACATGCACCCCAGCTGTTTCCTTATATGATCCTCTATTCGATCACATTTAACTTAGAATGGATAGAAGGCATCAACCCAAAGGTAGAAGTAGTGATTCTAGTGAAGTTGCTATCTCTTTGTGATTCGGCCACGTCGAACTTTGCTCACTCGTCATCTCAAACACAACATATGTTTATATGACCATTTTTTTTATAGATCCATTAGAGGCAGAGTCAACATTAGAATGAATAGAAATGTAGAGTAGTTCTTTAATAATTTCCCAAGCTTCATAAAAGCGAGCCGACTCAAATTTGCTAGAACTCAAAGATGCAACGTTTGAGCTTTACAATCTTCGTTGGAGGAAAGAACTTCATGGTGAACTTTTGAGTCAACTCATTCCATATAGCAATGCTATCCGGAGGCAATGGATCCAACCATTCCCAAGCTTTATCTCGAAGTGTAAGAAAAAAGTCCGATCTTCATTGCTTCTACCGTTAGCCCATGTTTGGCTTACCTAAAAATTCCTAATTATGACAATTCGATACCTTGCAACACACATTTACAATAAAATATTTTTGTCAAAAGAATCTACTCATTTTAGGATGTCGACGTATTAGGTTACACACAACCTTTATTTACCTAATGCATCGTCACCTTGCCTTCTTAAAGACACTTTTATCCCGGACGCGAGCCCGTTATATAATTGTCCAGTTCTAGTGTCTAATTGATTTTATTACTTTATAATTCAATAAAAAGTGGAATGATTTTTAGAGTAGGAAGAAACCTCGAAATGATGGGATGGCTGCTTCATTTATTGTCTAGGAAAAACTTATGTAGCTCCGATTTAAAATCAAATTTTTAGTAGATTTTAATAAAAATTAATGAAATATGTGATAGATAGATGTCACCATCTTATATAATCCATGAGGTAGATATAGCAAGATCCATATCAAAATATGCCACCACACAGTGAATATTACACTGAAGGATGAAAAATTTCATCCGACAATTTTATTTCCACGACAAGATTGATGATGACAACAAAAATAGAAGCAAGGAAAACATGAGAAATATAATCTTAGTATGAAATAAACGAAGCCAAACGCTTGATCAGATCCTTTGCTTTCTCTGTTTCAGGATTCAAGAATTGAAAGCAATGATCTTCTCCTTCAACCTCCACCATCTCCACCTCCCCATTCCAACCACTTTTCTTTACGGTCTCAACATAAAGAATTCCTCTCGACGTCAATGGATCCTTCTCCGCTAAACAAACCAGCAGCCTTGAACACCCCAGCCCCGATAAACTCGGAGCATCATCAACAAATGGATTGATCATCGCATTGTCAATCCCACCAGGAACTGATGGATAAACAAATAACCACATCTTACATGCTAGATTCTGCTCAATTTCTTCTTCTGTTTCGGACCCAATTGGTTTTGATCCCCAGAAGTAAGGATGAGATAGAAATCCACCCACGATTTTCACATCCCCAGGTAAAGGTTCTGCCCCAGCTTGGAGAAGAATATTATGAACTATATTGCCTCCAGCACTGTCGCCACCTATATAGATTTTACTGAAATCACCGTGCTCAGTTAGCCATGATTCCTTTTCGATGCCAAGTTTTTCAGTAACGTGCGAAGCTATTGAACACCCCAGCCCCGATAAGCTCGGGGCATCATCAACAAATGGATTGATCATCGCATTGTCAATCCCGCGAGGAACTGATGGATAAACAAATAACCAAATCTTACATGCCAGATTCTGCTCAATTTCTTCTTCTGTTTCGGACCCAATTGGCTTTGATCCCCAGAAGTAAGGATGAGATAGAAATCCACCCACGATTTTCACATCCCCAGGTAAAGGTTCTGCCCCAGCTTGGAGAAGAATATTATGAACTATATTGCCTCCAGCACTGTCGCCTCCTATATAGATTTTACTGAAATCACCGTGCTCAGTTAGCCATGTTTCCTTTTCGAGGCTTTCAAAAAGTCATTGCACGCTTCGAACCCATTGAAGAGCAACCCAGGAATCTTCATAGGCTATTGGCAAAGGGTGTTCAGGGGCGAGCCTGTATTCAACAGAAACGATTAAAGCTTTTGCTTCAGCCGCTAATATGTTAATGTAACGGTTCTCGAGGAAAGTGAAGGCTGATCCGAGACAAAATCCACCGCCATGGTAATAAACCAAAACCGGGAGCTTTTGATTTGGTTCTGTGAGTTTTGGGAGGTGTAGTCTGGCTTGAACCACTGGCGAAATGTTCAAGTCTTTAGAAACTACGCCGGTGACAGCGTCATCGGGCGACGGAGGAACATGGGGTGAACTGATGAGCCTCTCGACGGTGCCATCTTTGTATAGTTTGATGACCGGAGAGAGATCGGCGAGAACCTCTTTGGTGGTGTCCGAAGGCATGGCAGTGTGGTTGATAGAGAGAATCAGTAGATAGTGTTGGATTTGAAGATTTTACACAACATTTGTCAAAATGAACTGTACATGCTTAAAGATTCCGTGTCAAACTTGACTTGCTCGATTGGATTGTTTTTGTTTTTTCATTTTTAAAAATTCTTGCTCCAAATCCTACGTTATTGTGAAGAAAAATCACATGGGCCCATAAAGATTGCATTGTAAACGGTGAATTTCGAGGGTTTAATTTGATTGGTTTGCTTCTTGAATGCGATCGATGTGTTAAATTGAATAATTTTACCATTATCGCATCTCCACCAATTAAATATATATAGTTTGTAGTTTTTCAACATGCAAAATAACCTAAATTAGCAGCAGCCAGCAGTTTTATGCTCAGTGTGAAGTCATAACCTAAGATATTAGGCCTTTTTGATATGCTCTTATTTTCCATAGAAGTTGGAATTGAAATTTCATTTCTTACTTTTGTCATGTTTGATGACATTTTTTTTCCCTGGAATTGGTTTTATTTTTCCATATTTGCTAGTTTTCTTGGTTTTAGTTGAATCTTTTTTTTTGCTTTTGTTTTTGGCAATAGAAACAAATTTTATACCCAACTGTAAAAAAAATTATCCATTTAATTGACAATTTTCATGTAAAATAAAGCCAAACGAACACCAAAAATTTTCCAATTTTTTTTCGACAATCCAAACTAATTATATCCCCAATTGTAAGAACTTGCATCCCTTTAATTGACAATTTTCATGAAAATCAAAGTCAAACGAACACTAAAAGATAGAAAATTTCAACATTTTTCAAGGGGAAAATTATATCGATCAAACAAAATTAATTGACAATTCCCAATAAAACAAATTCTAAGCAATTCAATTCCCTACAATTCATTTTCTTTCCACCCAAATTTCATCTTTGAATCAAACGGACCATTTGTAATTTGGAAGGGGTTGAATAACAAGTCAAGATGTGAGTTATTAGTTTGGATGAAATATTAAAGACTATTGATTTAGCTAAGAGATAGAGATATATTCTTAGAGTTATTGCAAACGGTTCGTGAATTTTTTGGTGTATAAATGCTTTTAATTAGGTTAAAGTTCATGTAGAGATATAGTGGGTTTATTTAGAATTGAATTTTTTCGAGAGATGACTTCAGTTATTTTGTAAGGTTGGTCGAATACACAATATGAATAATTCCATGAATTTATATGACAAATCAAGGGGAGAATTAAAGTGAAATTGAGAGTCATGGCATTTTTCTCATCAAATTAATTCTTAAAAATCGAGATTGTCCACTACACAACACTTTAATTGTTTTTTTAGTTTAGAATTAGTATAATAATTAAAATAAAATTTTATGTTTGTCAAATATAAGATATATTTATTAAATCAATATTTGCGTATAATAGTTTCCGTGGAAGGTTAATTCAAACTCATTAAATCTACTTTATTACTTGTTTGGCGTCACCGTACGGTAGCAATTACCTACCCATCAAGTTTTTGGCGTCATTACGAGCTATTTTATTTGATATTGATGTTTACTGAGTTCTTGCTTTTGTTTGAATTTCTTTTATATATTAATTCTATAAGGTTGATAAAAATTCAGTTGACCATTTGAGATAATTGCTATGCTTGGTGTGTGACTCGATTGTTTTTTAGGGTTATGATTAAAAAATGACCAATTTCATATTATGAGCTGACCAACTTATGAGTTAGTATTATTTGAATCTAAAGAACCAATCAAGATATGATAAATCGATGATAAAATCGGTCATATCTATGAATCAATTGATTTTATTTTTTTTAATTTTGTTTAAACTTTAATTAGAAGTTGTAAAACAAAATGGAAGAAGAAAGGTGTGTATATATAAATGGAAGGATGAGAGAAAGAGAGAGAGAATATCATATAAAATTTCAATATATAAGGTCTACAAGTCATCTCAGAAAGAGCAACGTTATTTGTACATATACACAATTATGTACACAACGATACACAAATAACATAATTTTCTTATAAAAGATAGTGTAATAAAGCATCAATACTAATTAATTAATTCATAATTAAATACTAAGCCCATGTTTGTCCCCATTAAATTAAATTTCATTTTTTTCTCTTCATTTTTATTAATCATACATTTTCAATAAAATAATATTACCCGTAAATCTAAAAAAGTTTTCTTCTTTTTTGATCACACATTCTCCAAAAAAAAAATACTATTTCTCTCTTTATAAATTGAAATGGTGGAGCCCAAACAAGAGCAAATAAATCAAGAAAAAAAATAGTGAGCTTGGAGCCAATAAAACCGAAGAAGATTGACTCGTGAACAAATTGACATTTAGAATTCAGACCTAACTAGAAAGTACAAAGTGATCGGAACGATGGAACCTGAGAATGCAAAAGATTTTATAGAAAAAAGAATCTTAACAAGTCATTAGTCGGAATGACAAAATGAACCGAAGATCAATTTATCTATCAGGAGAAGTCACGAACAAGCTTTACAATGGAATAGAGATTGATAGAGTAAATATTTGCCCACGGATTTATTTTTTTATTTTTTTGAATTTGGATAAAGGATAAAACAAAATAATTTTTTTAAAAAACATTCTAAAAAGGCTATTTTTACAAAAATGTTAATCATTACAATTAAACATTTTTAATCCAACTGATTCTGCAGATAATCAAGTGGCCGTAATCGATGAGGGAACTCTGTCAGTCTCTAAATGCTTGACTCCACAAATTCCTCAAGGAAGAAATATTTCATTGGACAATTTTATTAGCACAAGAAGGAAGATTGATGATCATAACAAAAACAGAAGAGAGAAAAACACAGAGAAATATAGTTAGTGTGAAATAAAAGAAGCTATACGCTTTATCAGATCCTTTGCTTTCTCTGTTTCAGGATTGAAGATATGAAAGCAATGATCTTCTCCTTCAACCTCCACCATCTCCACCTCCCCATTCCAACCACTTTTCTTTACAGTCTCAACATAAAGAATTCCTCTCGACGTCAATGGATCCTTCTCCGCTAAACAAACCAGCAGCCTTGAACACCCCAGCCCCGATAAACTCGGCGCATCTTCAACAAATGGATTGATCATGGCATTGTCAATCCCACCAGGAACTGATGGATAAACAAATAACCAAACCTTATATTGTAGACTCTGCTCAATTTCTTCTTTTGTTTCGGACCCAATTGGCTTTGATCCCCAGAAGTAAGGATGAGATAGAAATCCACCCACGATTTTCACGTCCCCAGGTAACGTTTCGGCCCCAGCTCGGAGAAGAATATTATGAACTATATTGCCTCCAGCACTGTCACCACCTATATAGATTTTACTGAAATCACCGTGCTCAGTTAGCCACGGTTCCTTTTCGATGCCAGGTTTTTCAGTAACGTGCGAAGCTACCCATTGAAGAGCAGTCCAGGAATCTTCATAGGGTATAGGCAAAGGGTATTCAGGGGCGAGCCTGTACTCAACAGAAACGATCAAAGCGTTTGCTTCAGCCGCTAATATGTTAATGTAAGGTTGATCGAGGAAAGAGAAGGCGGATCCGATACAAAATCCACCGCCATGGTAATAAACCAAAACTGGGAGCTTTTGGTTTGGTTCTGTGAGTTCTGGGAGGTATAGTCTGGCCTGAACCACTGGCGAAATGTTTAAGTCTTTGGAGGCTACACCGGTGGCAGGGTCATCCGGCGACGGAGGAACTTGGGTTGAACCGAAGAGTCTCTCGACAGTGCCATCTTTGTATAGTTTGATGACCGGAGAGAGGTCAGTGAGCACCTCTTTGGTAGTATCGGAAGCCATGGCAGTGTTTTTTGGTGATTGTTAGAGATTGAATCAGTACATAGGGGCTGGATTTGTACAATGCAGATGAGTTGGCGAGGTTAGGTGGGAAGGGCAAGACATACCGGTTCATATCAACTACCAAGGTTTTGTTGAGGTTTGATTCGCTTAGATAGGATGGGTGTGCCCTACATTCGTCAGAAAAGATATGTTATTTTTCGGTGGTTGTTTATATTAATATGAGATTAGTTTTATTTGTCAAGTTTATTGGCCGATGAGCTGTAACTAGGTTTTCCTCCGGTTTTTTGTGAATAAATAAATGTCTATTTTGGTTAAAAAAAAATTGGACGATTGAATTGTTCTTTGTTTTTTTTTTTTTTAATATAAATATTTTAAAAATATATCTTTTCCAAAGTCCTGCATAAAAATAATGGTGCCCATAAAGGTTACATTGGTGGGCGTAAAGTCGTAGCTCAAATTATTATAATTTAGAAGATATTATTAAATGAGTCGATCTCGTGCAAACAAAGATATTTTTGAATCTTGTTTTTCTCAAAATGCTCTTAAACCTATTAGATGCACCTACGAACAATTCTTGTAACTCGAGCAAAGAGGAGGGGTTGAAGAGAAACTTTTGAATACCTATTTTATCCTTACATTTTTAGCTATTGGTCCAATATACCCTTATTTGATTTAAATTTTTGTCCTCAAATTTTTTTGTCAACTATGTCCTTATTTAATTCTCCTGATTTTTCATGCATTAAGTAAATTTTACAACTTATAATATTAAATATGGTTTTCACCTTTCAGCCAATTGATCTTCAAATGTATAATTCTTGACAGTTTATAATATAATGTTAAATAATATGATTATTTCTATGTAAATATATATTTTTTCAAAATAATAATAATACATAATAATGTTTTTTATTCATTATTGAACATGCATTCTTGATTTACCTTCATTGAAATAAGAAAAAACTGAAAATTCTTGCATTGAGAAAATGAAAATCATATAGCCATAATGGAAAACTGAGGTCAACAATTTTCAAAGAAAACGAAGGATCACACACCAAAAAAAAAAAAAATTAAAAAATCACATTCATTAACCTCAAAGAAATATTTAATGATATATTTTTTGTTCATCGCAGTTGAATAAAAAGTAATTAATTGTTTGAATAATCATTATTGAAATTCTAAACGATCAATATAAATTGATTAAGAACATTATTGATTACATTATTTACATTTATTTGTAACAGATTCTGAAATTTATGCCCATTATATAAAATAGAAGTGCTTCAAATGTTAACATTATATATATATAGTATTAAAATAATATTATCAAATTGAAACTTGGGTATGGAAAACTTTTAGTTTCATTTTTGCTCTTACATATTTTGCCTTTGACAACCACACATTTAATTGCAAATGTACCATAATCATTACTAATTACTAATTATTATAACTCTAAAAATTTATTGTAACTCTACTTCATTTTGTCTCCTTTTAAATATAAATCTCACTGTTTTAATTAGAGAACTTAAAAAATTTTATATTAACCAATTTATGTTTATTTACTTAAAATCGAAACTCAATATATAAAATATATATTCATATTAAAATAATATTATAATATATAAAGATTTGCATTAATATAATGGTAGATTAATTACCATTTAATATATTTAACTAGATTTAATATCCATTTAAGCGTAAAGTTCATTATTTTAAATTGGAGTACTTAGAATTTTATATTAATCAAATTAAGTTTAATTACTTAAAATTGAAGCTCTCATATATTGATGTAATTTTATTATAGTTGTAAAATATAATATATTAAAGGTTGTATTAATATAATGGTAGATCGATGACAATATAATATAATATATATTATAGTTTTAATATAATTATATATGTAGACGAGTTTCAATTCTAAGTGATTAAACTAAATTTGATTAATATCAAATTCTGAGTATTCCAATATGGAAAATGAACTATATATTTAAAATGAGACTACATGAAGTTAAATTGTAATTAATCTATCATTAATGTCACATTTAATATATTATAATATCATTTCGTATGTATGTATGTATGTATGTATGTTATATTATATTATTTCTATATGTGAGCTTCACTTAAAATCAACACTCATTTTCTTATATAATTATATTAAATACAATACATATAAAATATGCGCGGGTTCAATTTACCATTTTGTTCTTATATAACATTGTCTTCATTTTCATTTAAATATTATAAGTTTTATGTTTATATAATATATCTAATGAAAAAATTATTGAAATACAACTTATAATACATTGAAAATAAAAAATTGCTTAAAGGTGATCAACAGTTAGGAGGGAAAGAGTCGAATGGGAAATAAAATTAGCATCAATCTTAAAAACCTTACTAATTAAATTACTGTTAGGTTTATATTTTTTATTGGCGATTCTGTGAACAAATTGACCAATTTGAATATTTATAAAAGTTTAAGGACTAAATTGTAAAGTTTCATAGTTGATATGTTAGCTTAGGGTTTAGGGTTATATGTTTGGAACAAGAAGAATTCACGTCGAATTTTCGCTAGCTGCTCGTCGGAGTGTTGCTCGAGGCCTTGAGCGACTGAAGCAAAAACTACCTCGCAGATTTTTGCCCCACTGTCACTCGAGCGACAGACTCTTCGCTCGAGCTAAGAAGCCACTTCGCTCAAGCGACGTATTATATTGGGAAACCTAATTTTTTTTTCCAAGTTTTTTTTACTTGGCCCATACAACCTAATTCGTTCAACCTATATATTTTTCCCATGTTGGGTTTTTTCGTGAACAGTTCTGGTATTGTTTATTGCTTTATTTACTGCTTTAACATTACTGCGGTATTTCAACATAGGACAAATTGAATTGTTTGACTAATCACCTAAATATAATTAATTTGTGACTTGTTGTATGTTAATTAAGTATTAATTCAACATTTACACCTAATCACCCCCTCTAAGTGTAGTAGGATCGAATCTTGCATTTCTCAATTGGTATCAGAGACTAATCTCGTGTCCTGACCCTTATTTTGATTGTTTAGATGAGTAGTTTGTTTGGTGTGCCACTATATTTTGATGGCAGTAATTATGCCTATTGGAAAGTGTGTATGAGAGCTTTTCCCAAAGCTTTGGATGAACATATATGGATTTCTGTGCAAAATGGACATACTCCACCTTCAGCAACTGCTGATGGTATAGTTACACTCACTGAAATTTCTTTATGGACTAAAACTAATCTGGATGAGTGTAGATGGAATAGTAAAGGTTTACATGCTTTGTTTATAGTCGTATCTCTGGAGGAATTTAGAAGAGTGTCCATGTGTGAGACTGCTAAGGAAGTTTGAGATATTTTGGCGACTACTCATGAGGGTACTAAGACCGTGAAAAACTCCAAGCTAGAAATGTTAATTTCTAGATTTGAAGAACTTATGGTGAATGATGATGAGAGGTTTGATGAGTTCTATGCTAAACTGAACGATATTGTGAACTCTAGTTTCAATTTAGTCTAACGGATCACCGAGTCAAAAATCGTTCGTAAGGTTCTTAGATCCCTACCTAAGAGGTTTAGACTTAAGGTAATTACAATTGAAGAAAGTAAGGACATTGACGCCCTTAAAATAGAAGAACTTGTTGGATCACTCCAACCTATGAATCGACCTTAGCACAACCCAAGAAATAAAAGTCCATTGCTTTGAACACTCGTAGGGAGGAGAATATGAGTCTAGTGATGTAGAGTTCATTAAAGGAGAAGAGATAGCTTACTTCGTGAAGAAGTTTAGGAATGCCTTGAGAGATAGACCTAAACCGCAACCTAGACAGATGAGTCCTCCTAAAAGATTTCATAAGGAAAAGCGTGATAAGAATGGTTGTAAAAGGCCTTATGGTGAACTCCAGTTGGTTAGATGTCATGAGTGCCAGGGATTTGGGGTTGAATTATATTCTCTACTTTGGTTCTTTTTTGTGTCTTTACTTAAAATATTATGTATTTCAATAATTTGTATAGGTGTGAATATTTTTATATAGTTTACATGTTTGTAGATTATGTGAACTACAAATAAAAAAAAGTTGTGGGACGTAGAAAAAATGTTGGATACAAAGAAGTGTTATTGTAATCTTCAGTTTATTCAACATTTTCACATTATATACATAATTCCATAAAAAATTTATTATTATTATATATTCTTTTTAATAATTTTAATTTTTCCTTTAATAATATCAATTAGCTCAACCACTTTCAAAAAACAATATTAGTACTTAAAAAACATTATGCATATCATTCATTTGATACATGAGGCGTGCAAAGCACGTTCTCACTACTAGTATAATAAATAATTTCAATTGATGTATTCAATGCATATTAAGCGAATATGAAAAAATGATAATATTCATTGGATGTTCAGTTTAATCAAATAATAAATGAATAGACTATTCTAATTAACTTCCTCAAATATTTAAATTGTTTTCATAGACCGTTGTTTATTTCATTTGAATCAAAAATCCATTCCACATAAACAATTTGTATTAATTATTTTTTTATATTTCCACATCTTACAATAATATTTTTATAACACTTAAAAAATATTTCATAATAACGTGCAACGAATATTCAACTATGACTAATTGACCAAAAATTGAAGATAAAAATACTAGAGCTCTAACCAAAAGAGTGAAAAAGAAAAACATCTATTGCTTTTAACTCAATTCCAACCCATCAAAATTCCCGTACCCCAACAAACACGAAATAGTTGTTTTTTACATGAATCCAAACGACGATTGTTGCTACCTCCCAAATCTATCGGCCTATTACACGAACCATAACGATAAGATCCTTTTCAAACGTAATTGCCAACGATCCCAAATCTATCGGCCTATTACATGAATCATCACGATAAGATATTTACTAACTGCATCATTTGATCTAGGATACAGCTCTCAACTACGCTTCTTACACAAGTTATTTTTCGCAATTTTGCACCAACTTTTC